TGAAATGATAATATAAAAACATTGGAATATTTTGCATACTAAAAGCAAAGCTGTTTTATTGATTAAATAATATGTCAAAATTGAGCAATAGCAATAGATTAAATTATGTAATAAAAAGTATTCGCATGTACATACGTATGCAATCCTCGATCAATTTACACTGATTAGAAAAAAGAAAAAAAAAAGAAAACTAAATCCTAGTTTAATATATATTAAGCTAAGTTTCAATCTTCATATATGGTTCAATCAACTTCTTATAATCTTTTCAGATTTAACTTTCAAGTTCAGTATGACTATTTTCTCTAAATTAATTGACAAATTCCTTGAGTAAAAAAAAATATCACATATTTATTATCACTATGTCTATACTGAATGAGTCAACGATATGTATGAGAGGATTAGAAGACGAAAGGTTATGATAATGATTTTTCACTCGACTCCATATCTGTAAGTTTATTAATTAATAAGAAAAGTTAGAAGACTTCTACTAGGCTATTAGATAAAGAATTCCATTTGAAATTTGAATCTAAGATGATTATGGGAAAATGAATTTGATGAGCACAATTTAAAATGAAACGTTACAGAAATTTACGAAATTTTAAAGTTTTGTAAAATCTAGAATAATATCATAAGAGGAGAAGTTTACTAATTATTTATGAAAATTGGATACTTGCCTATGATTCAAAGAAATTTATTAATTAATGAGGAGAATTAGAATGAGGAAATAATTTGGACGCATAAAGATGTGTAGTAGAACAAAAACAAACCAAAATAAACATATATTTTGTCTCCAGAATGTTTGTCACTTTTCAATATGCCGATGCCTAAAATGAGTAGTTGGCAAAATTTCATATGCTTTCTGATCTCTTCTCACTGAATGCTATAAGGCTGAAAGGGCATAATCATTCGTTATCAACGATAACAAATAATGACTTTTAGAACTAAATTCGATTTTTTTAACTTCAAGTTTCACCAGCATAAAATTTGAAAAACAATCAATTAGCAATTATAGTAAAACAACAAAAGCAAAAAATTATAGCAAAACAATGAGGAAAGGCATAAATAAATAAATATATATATATATATTTTTTTTGGTACAAATATGCTAATGTAAATGGTATAGTATGTTGACTCTTCTTCTTACTTGTTTTCTTCCTTTTCATGCACACTTCCATAACGGTAATGATAAACAATTGAAAGTAAAATTAACAAATTCCAAGATAAAATTGGAGAAATAGGGAGGAATTAGAAAAAACATATACAATACAAAAGAAACCTAGAAAAACAGCATTATTGCAAATGTGAAACCTTAGTGCAAGAGAATCAATCATTAGTGATTTGATACAATACTCACATCAAAGTGTTATCATGTTCTTAGATTATTAATTCGTACTTTGTTCTCACTTCTTTTCAAAAATAAATATGTTCTTTGCTTATCTTGCTAACAATAAAACTTTCTGACAGCATATATTTTAAAATTATAAGTTGAATAAAAAAGAAAAAGTTTACAATCACAACGAACTATAGGAATACATACATTTAAAGGAATTTCAATAATTTAGTTTTTTTCGCTTCTAAATTAAATAATAATAAATGAAAAGAAAGGCGAAAAAAAAAAAGAATACAATAGATGGAATAACAGGAAATTAATTATTAAGCGATATGGAATGAATGACTAGTTGTTTTTGCAATGTGCGCAACTTCTCTTTAACTGTGCTGGCTGCCTTTTCGTATTCACTTGTTAGCTGCTTTTTATCGAAATGGGTCTAGAAACAATAATACTCAGTTACTTTTATACCTACTTAGGCTTAGGCCCTCTTCATATCTACACATCCATAAACCTTTATATTTCTATGCTTATGTCCATATATTTTTATGCTTATGTTCAATATGTTCAATTGAATTGATTTTTGAGTCACCTTTTTATCTATATATTTATAAACAATTAAAGTTTGGCATTGCACACAAATTTAATTCTGCGTTCATGCTCAGCTCAATTAATTTTGATTCACTTATTTATGATAATATCCATCCACTTAGTCTCAGCGAACCTAATGAAATGCATTTTTCCAATAAATATATATAAGAACAGTAGAAGACCGACCTTCTGGAAAGTAGAGAAAACTGTTAACATTATTAGGTGATTCAGTTATTTAGTCGTCGGTTAAATTGCAGATAGTTCGCACCATCAATTTTAATTAAACAACACTCACCTTATCTTACTTGCTTATTTCGAATTCACAAGACGAGTAATTCTAAACAATCAATATATATGTATGTAAAAAGTTATATAATAACTTGCCGCCGATATAAAAACATCACGATCTGCATAAAAATCGTAAAATTTCGACACCATATCGACTAAAACACTCAGCGAGGATGACTCATTTGCGATGAACCTAAATGAAAACAGCAAATACACTTCGCGTCCGACAAGGTTTGATTTTTAAATGATCTGAAAGTAAAAAAAGAACTTACGAATCAATAACTTTGTTAATTCTCCTCGTGTCCTCAATAGATTTCTTGTCTCTCCTACAATTTAATACAATTTGCACTAACGATTATAAGAAGAATGAAAAGTTCGGAAACTGAAAACCTATAAATTGAGGTTACTTAATCCAACTTTAATTCAATAAAATTATGATAGCCGACCTGCACTGAAGATGCTGAACAAGCTCGGCAAATATATCCAAAAAATCATCCATGGAATGTCCATTTAATTCACATAATTTTCTCTTCTTAGATAATCTACCACCATTTCCACTACCCTCAAAATTTCCGCCATTAAAATTGATAACTTATAAATTTGTTACGAATGTAAATGTAAATTTCTCTATAAGTATTCGCAAGCTGGAAACTAGATTAGGAGCTCAAGAATATTGTCGTCCAATTTCAATCGAACTGTCTCACCTCTTTCCCTGCTTTTCGAACTGAATAGGGAATTGACCGCCACTGATGAACCTCATGATGTGCGACTGAACCTGACGTTCCACAGCTTCCTTTTTTACTACGAATGAAATTCCGCGATTGGTTTTTGCCAGCGGTCAGCGTTGATGAAACTGAACCATCATACGAAGAGATTTCCCTTTTTTGAGAAATAAATGTAAATGACGGCGAGGAAGAATGGCATTCAGATGGTACAGGTGAACATTCCATAACTTTCTTAGATGCAGTAACTAGCATAGTTTCAACAGCCGATGATGATGGCTTATCAACTAGAGTGAACGAGAAGTCCGACGGTGAGATTTTCTGTGGAGCATTTCTCATTACGAGCTGCTGACCTTTACCTTTCGGTGGACCAGTTGCTAATAAATGCAACAAATCCTGAAAGAAAACGATGAAAAATTAAATAACTATGGACAAAAAAGTTTTAAGTAGGTCAAATTCAATTTCTCTTTTAACTAAATTAATTGCAATATATGAGTCCATTTATGTTTAATTTAGACTTCTTTGACTAAATAGACCGAAATCAAAAAACCAAAACCAAAAGAACAAACTGTTAATCACGTATAATTAAATAATTTACAGAAGGAAATTCAACAAAGACTAAAACTAATGTAATGAAAATATAGACTACATAGTCTTGTATAATTTTCGGTTAATGAATTCATTGCAACTGAATTCATTGCAAAATGAATTTATTTATAAAACATAAATGAAAAGTAAGAGAAAATATAAAGAAAAAATAAAAAAAAATATGAATAGATGAAATACAAATGAAATATAAATCAAAAGCATAATGTAAGTAAAACACAAATAAAAAAGTACAAAATACAAGTAAAAAGAAAAAAAAATAAACAAAAAGTAAGGAAGAAGCACAACCTATGTCTACCTGCACAGCATGTTTTTCCTCCTGAATGCGACACAGCTGCATCTTTGACATAACGCATTCAGAGAATACTACTCATCAAATTATTTCGTTTAATCTAACCATTAATAATTACTAAAAGTTGCTAAATTTGAAAAAAAATAGAGTAATATAACAAGAATCGTACGTTTCTATCAGCTGTTGCAATATTGTGTGCCGCTGCTTTCACTGCAAGATTTTTGTCATTTGTGGCAAATACCACACGAACCGGTTCATTCTCGTCTGGAAAAAATATTTTTGCGATAGGGAACCTCCAAAAAACAACAGAAATATCATTAGGACGACATAAGCCAAACAGCTACAAAAGGTGCACAACAAAAATAATGAAAAGCAAAAAAGGTGGTGTGTGTGTGAAACATGAAACAAATGAAGTTAACTTACATTTCCTGGTGGTTACATAGGCACACTTCAAAATTATATCATCATTGTTTTGGCATCCAAATTCCTCCAAACCATTTGAGGCCTTAAAAAGATTCAAGGAAGAATGGCAGTCAAACTTCATGTAATTTATAGTTAGGAAAAATCACCACATAGATTGCGATTTCAATAGCAACAAACCTCAAAAGTGCTTTCTATGAACAGACAGTTACATCCGCGTTTAATGTAATCATGTAGATAAGCAATTGTTTTCACGGCTTTAGATCGCAATTCGTCAGATTTCTAAATGACATTTTTTGATGTAAGTGCGGGAAATAATATAAATGTAGAGAATAAGATATACACATTAATATGGAAAGATCATAAAAACTGTGATAGATCATAAAAGTAGGTAAAAGAAAACAGAAAATTGAAAATAAGTGAAATAAACGAAAATGCAATTTAACTGAACAACTGAATTAATAATGAATGAATTTCATGGTTGTTAACTGAAACTTACCGCTTTCTTTAAGCCATCTAATTCCTGGAGAACTGTATATGGAATAAGTGAGCAATATATTCCTATAAAATTACTATTATGAAGCGAAGGCTTGCCCTTTTAATAATGGTAATTATTTCTGCGGTTTGGACAGTTACGAATTTATGAATATAAGCCAAAAATGAGATCCCCGACATATATAAAGCATAATTTTAAAATCTTTGGAATAACTACCATTATTTGCTAAAAGAAATATTATTTGGGGCATAAAATAACACATACTTTGTGTGCACATTGGTAACAACGCTGTGTCTTGGAGAAGGCAGCTTGTGTCAAAAACTATAAGCACCATTCCAGCTTTTTCGCTTGTTTCACAGGCTCCCGTATTATTAACAGTATCAAAAAACGGTGCATTATTCTGAAAAATGAGAAGTCATTATAACGCAGGAACCAAAACTGAATATAGGCCTTCAAAACGCCGCAAACGTCCACTTGTCACTCATATTCCATCTTCAAAAATATCAAACTTGCAGAAGAACGCATTTCCTTCTATTCATCCCAAATTTATTTCATCAAAAAGTCTTGAAATGGAATACATCAGTGCCAGAATAAGTGAAGAAACACAAACTTTGACAAACAGATTAGGATGTAAAAAGTGTTCCCGACGAAAAGCTTGCAATTCTTCGACAACAAAATCAATCTCCATCGGCTCTTCGTGACAGCTTATATCTAAAATGGCGAAGACTTCACATTTTCTACATCTAAAAGACATTTCTAATTAACTGGTATCAACTTTGGCATATTCAATAAATAATACTTGCCAATCAGCTGTAACAAGGAATGCTATGATAACGAATGTTGTGACTTCAGAGAATACGAACAAAATGAAACAAAATGAAACAAAATGATAAACATCAAGTCAGTAATTCGCAACATCTGACACGTTTATCTGTCTTTATTATCACAATGATTGGCAAAAAATAAAAGAAAACCTTCTAAGTTAATTTCGTCGATTTCCATCAGCTCTTCACTTGGTTCGCTTGTATTCGGTACATCCAAGTCATGCAAGCAACCAGGTTTATCTGATAGTTCCTTTCCATCAACTTCCTCTGGAGCCAGGCTTCTTCCAGAGCTCAGATCTCCTCTAAATTACAAAGAAAATGAATTGCGAAAAGCTGTATATAAAGGATTAAATCTACTACAACTTTGCTTTACCACCTTCCTTATCTCTAACTTTCCACACAAGTAAAGTTTTTCGTTGAAAATTCGACAGAAAAATCTTCGCTGCCAGTTATTCACTCAACAGAAGTTGTTTTTGTACCGAAAAATAACTTCCACTGGGATGGTTTAATTATGGTTGATAAAGTAACGTTATCTTTGCCATTATTAGAAACATCTAAGATATTTCATTTCAAGAAGACATTATCGACACTTGGTTTCAGTAAAGTAATCATAGGAAGAATCAAATTAATCATGATTTATTGTGCCATTAATTAGTAAAATAGAATTCCTCACTTCTCCGGAACACCTTGAATTCTTTGTTGATGTTCTACATCTACCTTTTCCGCAGATGAATCTGATTTTTTCAAAAGATTCTCCACAGCCGGCATTTCCCATGTTGTTTGTTTCGTCTCCAAATTGAAATAAAATATCCTAAAATACAGTAAAAAACAAAAGTTGCTTGAAATTTTGAAAATTAAAAGAAGCTAACTGCAATAGAACACCTTGACAGATTCCAAATATCGTAATTTGCAAAAAAAATACACTGCAATTTTATTCTCATCATTATTCTCTTATTCTCATAACCACAATTTTATTGTTCCACCTACTCTTAGTTACCAGCTAACACTCACATTTTTGAAGAAAGCACTCACTAACTCCCGGCCAAATGTACTTCTTTGTCTTACTCTATGTATATTTACGAAAAGTTTTCTTAAAATATATCTAAAGGTGACAGGCTATTCTTCTCTGTTCACTATTCCTCATCCATCTTACTGTAGCAAATATTTCTCAAGATTTCAAGCAACAGAATTTACTATGAAGATAAACGATGACTATAAAGTTATAATATACCACACGTACATTTACATCTTCCCTTCCGTGAATTTACGTTATTCCTCACATACCAGAGAAATCTTAAGTACAGTAACGTTGTGTCTTGAGTATCCTTAATCGTTTTTTCTTCCTTTTTTCTCATCAATTGATACAACGGCTTCATTATGATAGTACAATTTATTATTTAACTATGAAATATTCGACAAAAGAAATATCGAAACCAAACAACAAGTAAATTTTACAAATTAATATCTCAAGCGACTCTAACAAATCTATGTTGACACTGTGACGTGCGTGACGTTGACACCAATGATTACATTTATTCATCTTACGTTTACCAACAGCGCTTATATATTATTCATATTTTTACCCATCCTCTTAGATCATTTTGTAAAGGAAAAAAAAACTCTCTGACCGTTTTCTTTTGTCCGAATAATATGCTTTCCATGGTTCCGGTAATCCTGACACATAGATTTCTTTCCTCTTCTTACTCATTATGATGAAAAAACGTGTACCAAACACAAATCAAATAATATGCATGAAATATCTGAAAGGAACAGTAAATCATAATTTTGCTGTTATTTTATTTCAAATAAAATTTCTTCAGAAACGAAATCATCATGAACAAACCTTTTTCTTCTTCGTACAGAAAAAAGAAAACGAAGAAAAAATGGTACAAATGATGTTTGCATAAATTATGCATAAATGTATTGATGGTTGAATTTTTTCAACGAATTAAAATGAATTCATTATAAATGACATTAATGAAGGTTCCCCTTTTAAAAAATAAGCACTTACTGAGATAAACTGAACTGACGGAAATCAAATTAAGAATTGAAATTAATTAATTAGCAACATAGCGCCGTATACTATACTAACGTAAATGTTCTCTTAATTACTGCTACCGGATCTCTCAACCTGTTGCACTATCTCATAAATCTTATCAATCTTTGTCTCTCCCAAATTTTTGTCTTCTTTCTCAACCCCTTCCCTTCCTTTCCATTTATAATCCGATATTGATGTCACTGCTCAACTTATTCCATCATTTATTGCTTCAAATTTCGCCAATTATGGTAATCCCCCTTGTCTCTTCCTAATTAATGCTATTTCTTTACCATTGCAAAATTCCATTATGCACTATTTTTTTTGTCTTGTCAACTCATTTTTGCATGCTCTCTTCTGTTTCTGTATCACCCTGATGTCTCAAAGTTATGATTAGGAGCTTTGTGAAACTTTTGGATTTCAGTGATGTCATTATTTTGCATATCTTGTCCAACCTTAATTTTGTTTCAATTTTATCTCATTCTTCCACTAAATTTACTTTTCAGAATGTGCGATAGCTTTGACAATTGTAAATTTGACTAATGTCACACTTTCTGGACGACGAATTACGCGGACTTACTGCTGCACAGCTTAGTATGTTTGTTTTAAATTTTATTAAGGTTGAATAATTTTGAAATTTTAGTTTGAATGTGAGTTTATTTGCTGACATTTTCAAGTAATTTTTTGTAAAGAAAATATTATCTTTATGTAGATAAATTTTATGTAAAGCATACTGTAGAGTCCTCATGTTCTCATTTGTTACTCGTAATCTTTTCAATTTTATTCATCAGAAAGACCCAAAATATTAGCTATGCCAGTATCATACCAAAAACTTGGAACTTCTGCATTGGATTTTAGCGTAGTCCAACTATTGTAATGGGTCTTTTTTTCTTATTAAAACTACTTTTTACTGAGATTTTTTTCCTCTAATTTTAGAGCAGGAAAAGCAAAATACCTCTTCTCAGTTACTTCGCGTTCAGCAGCAAATTAGCGATTTGGCTTATGGAAATTATCGGATTTATGCAGATGCCGGAAGTACTACAGAACGCTGCCGGCAATTGGTCAGTTTTTTCCAACGCATAGCTTTTTTTGCCGAAAAATTTTTCGTTTTTGTGCTAGAAAGCCTTTGTGTTGCTGGGAACTGGTCAATTCTTTCCTCTCCGGAATTGCTGGATTTTCCTTGGAAATGTGATCTTTCCTAGCTTTCAAATATGACATGTATGTAACAATTAAGTAATTGAGTGTTTACGGGAAATGAAATCCACCTCAATTGCATTTGATGCTTAGTCGATCTCCCTCATGCTGTATTCTTGTATGGCGGAAAGACAGAGGAACAAATACATTCAAGCAACAATATAAAACTAAAAGGAATCACAAAAGAAATCATGTCGCAAAGGAAAGGCAAATGAATGAATAAATAGACAGTAAAACTTTATCCTTCTGGTCTTTTTTTTTCAATTGAGCTTTTGATTTTTTATTTTTTGAGGTTAGAAAGAGACACCAAATAAGATGAGTGAAAGAATATTCGAAAGTTTTTAAGTTTGGAAAAGCAAATGATTTGGCTGAAGATATTGAAAAGGGGATCGAATCGATAAGAGAATCCATGAAACAGTTTGATTCTAAAAATGATGAAATAGCAGATGAGCTTCATTATCTGGAACTTGCTGAAAGGAAAGATTCACATTTATGGGACGTTTTAAGCTTGCCAACGGTAAATTTTTACAAATTCATTCATTTTAGAACATAAAATTACGCGGGATTTGTTAGGAATGCATCATTGGAAACTAACCCTTGAAAATGATTCAAAAAATCAAGATTTAAAATTATAACGAAATGGGACTGAAAGTTTCCAAAAAAAAGTGCAATTTAATTTCGAAATTACAATTTTACTGTGTTTTTCAATTCGCTTCAATTTTGGAGACATTTGATCAGAAATCTAGATTTCAGCGTATGGATATATGTATTCGAGCCGGCTACTACGATATGGCTTTTCTGTTAACCAATTATGGAGTGGAGTTGCAAACACATGGACTCACAAAAAATTCCCTAATTAAGGTTCTTCTGAAATTTACTCATTGTTAAAAATTTATGACCGACTTGATTAGTCAGAATGTTCTTGGAAATTGCTATGGAAATTACTAATTAAATGAAACTAGCTCCGAAATGCCAACAGCGCTAAGAAATTTTTTACATTTCAGTTTACATTTCTCTTTATTTTAAAAAGCCAGTTTGGTTTTCTTTGCTTTTTTCATTTTTCCCATATATGTTTTTCCTGGATTTTATTCAGTTTAAATATTTTATATTAAATATTACTGAAAGTTGAAGCAATGATTAAATATCTTAAAAGCTTAAAATTTATAGTTTAGAAATCTTGCTGGTGTATGAAAGTTAAGAGGCTTTGCGAATTCAAGTTTTTGCACGAAAGGAGATAATTATTTAGTGAAGGGAGCTAGCTATAAGAAGTTTCAAGGGCACTGTTATTGTTAAGTTATTATGCTAGTTTTATTATTGAAAGTTGTTACGATAATTTCGAATTTGCCAAATATTTGCAGCGGGTTGCTGATAAACTAATCGATGCTCGATATCAGTTACTGGATGAGCTGTTCAACAAATTTGCCGGACCTGTTGACTTAGCAAATAGTATTCAAATTGTGAATAATATCCGCAAAATCCCGTATTTGTCTTCGACGCAAATGCGTATTATGGTTTTACAGTATCGTGATGTATATCTTGAAAAGCGACTTTCGGATATTCGAGTAAGCCGGTTTTTTTCTTCAGGTTTGCAAGTACTTCCGTTTTAATAACTTATAGTCAAATGTCTCGCTGATTTCATACACCTCCTGAAAGACACCGATGATTCATCTCACTGTTTGTTGAAAACTTTCCCGTTTGATATTTCCTTGCTGATTCGTCAAAATATTAATAATTCTTGTCTAATTATATGTTCAGTCGCAGCCAGATTTCGTCCTTCGGATGGTTGAGGTTTATCGTGATTGTATGTATGACACTATGGTCCTCTATCTGGCTGTTTTTCCGGAAAATGAAGTAAGCAGACGGCAAATTGATGTGAGGATCTTTTGTGTTTTTCGGAAATAATAGTAGCTTTTCTTCTAGATAACAACAATTTGAGATAGCTTAAATTTTAATTGTTGTAGTCATCGATAGATCAGCGATGGGATGTCTGGCAAGCAACAACTTCCTCCATAATCCTCAGTGAATGGGCAATTCATAACCTTGACGTAATGTTCAGTCGTCTAAAGTAAGTCGTCATTCTTCCAGAGGCACTGTGATTTCATAACTCAAATGGTCACATATTCAGGAATGTCGATAATGAAGCACAAATTGATATTGGCTCTCTGACGAGTAAATTAATGAGTTTTGCTTTATCATTTGGTCGAATGGGATTGGATTTTCGGCCACTGATTGTAGAAATCATCGATGAATTTGTCACCAAGAGATTCTCTCTAAAAGTTCAGAATGCAGCGAACAAGTTAGTTTGGTGCAAGCTTAGAATTCGTAATTCGACTAGAACGCATGGCTCAAAGATTTTTTTATTTTTGAGGTGTTTATTTGTTTTTGATAATATCTCGTTAGTAACGATATTGTAGATTGATAGTAGCATTTCAAAATGATATTACACCTTTATTATTTTAGCTTGAAACAGTGTAGAACTATAGAAATTGATGAAGAGATACCGGACACTTTATTTTTATCTGGTACGCAGGACGGTAAGCAACCGTCAGCTCCTTCAGTACTTGCGTATTGGGATGATTTATGTATCTATGGGAATGCCTTAATTGATGCTTTAAATGAATTGCGAAGTGGTTTATCACCTACTCAGGTATGTATCGCGACATATTTATTTTTGGTTCTAGAAATTTTAATAAAATATACATTTCTATAAATGTTTTTAGGGTCCTTTTAGTTATTTGCTTGTTTCCAGATCAACACAGTTCTAAAGGATTTAACGATTTCAATGAACATTGTTGTTTGCTGGCTGTGTGATATGGAGAAATTGGTTAAAAAAGCAGTAAATTTTAATTTTTTAAAATTCTTTTAAAATTACTAATTCTGCAAACGCTGCTCTCTTTGAGGGAAGAAATTCACCTGTGAAAGAGGAGAGGAATTATATGTAAATGGATTTGTTTGTTTTGGGAATAAAATGTTTTCGTTTTTTCTAAGTGCAAATGCTATGGAAGTCTATTGTCAACCTTGAAAAGCAGTCTCAGTCTTGAAAAACAGCAGGTTACTCCAAGTGACTGACCGCATAATACTTGCAAACTTTCTTCTTTTGATTTTTCTTCATATAATTAGTTTTCAGATTATGGAAAAGGCAATTAAATTATTGGGGAAGTATTTTATACCATACATTAACGGCTGCTTGTTGGCTTTATATCCATACGAAATATGCTGTCGACCGTTTTATCGTACCATTTGTACACTAGAACAATACGTAAGTTAGAATCTGTCTGCAGTCCTAATTTAATTGTGGATTTTCTTTTCTCTTTTTCTAATTCTATATTCGCAGTTCCTTTTTCAGTTATTTCTGTTCTTTTTTAATCATCCTCTTCATCTCATAATTTATCTTTTCTGTTTTTGGTTCATTTACTCTCTTACATATTCTTTTTTAAAAAATAAATGATAAGGAATTTTGTAGGAAAAAAGGTGTGCTGTACAGATTAAAGAGATCTGTAACGATTGTCCCAATTCAATAGTAATTGAAAAGTTACTGGAAGAAGCGAATCGTTCCATAAATAAATATGTTGGAAATGTTTTAACGGTCACTAATGAAAATACGGAAGTCTGTGAAACAAATGTCCCTGATAGCAATGGTGTCTCACAGGAGGTGAGTATAATAGCTAACAGTTTAATATTTTTCGATACTTAATTAGACACTTATTGAAATAAGCTAAAAATGATTTTTTCGGTGAAGGTATGGTTTTTTAAGGAATACTTGGACCAACTATAATAAATGAAATAGATGTAAAAATTGTAGAAATTAATGCGGAATTGACTATATAGATTATTACAGGTAATATTTCTGGTTTTGCGGTTAATAATCATATGTTGCTTGACTCTTCCCCTCCTTGTTGTTCACTTTTTTCATCACACGACAAGAGGTGTTCAGTTTCAATTTGATATGAAAATTTTGCGCAAATTGTATAGTTTCAAGCCCTATTGTCCATAGAAGTATTGGTGATTATTGCAGGAAGTTATGCTGAAGTTATCGTTGGATGATGATGTAAAAATAGACGTTCAAAACGATGATAATCAGCATGAAACAAAAGAACACTCTCCAAAAAATAATTCAGAAAGCTATTCGACCACTTAGACTTCGATTTAAATAATTTTTTTCTCTACTTTTGTTAACATACATAACTTAAATGTCTCTACACATTATTTTTCTTAAGGTAAACTGTTCGTGTGATAATTTTTTTTTGGTCCGAGAATTTCTTCCAGCGATTTTTGTTGTGCATTAAGATTCCACCCAGGTAATTCAGTTTATGATGCATATCTTTTCTAGGAACATTTGTTTATGTGCCGTATGATAATAACTTATTCTTGTATATATTACTGCTAATGGGTTGATGTTTTTACTGCTCGTATTCTTCGGTCGCAATGAAGGAATTTCATCTTTGGATAGCATTGAAATTTCAAATAGATTAAGCACAGAACAAGAAAACGGAAAAGGAGACGAAGAAAATAACTAATGGAATGGTAGTCGATAATGTTTTGATATAGCAATTTCGGTACATCACATTAAGATTTTCAAATTCTGCCTTCTAACTTAGGTTCTCAGCAGACACGTACAATATATAAAAGATTTAATTAAATGAAGAATTTGTGGACATTGAAGTCCATGGACTAAAATATTTTGAGAATGCTAGATTCGAACGTACACCTACACGTAAAAGTTTTAAAATATAAACAAAACAAAAAAAAAGAAAAAAACCTACTTTTCTGTTGAGATCTAATTAGCAGAAAACGCCAAAGTGATGGAAGCTGTTAGTTTCTTCACTACTGAAAATTCAGAATCGAATCAGCTTTAATTCTTTAATTTTTTGGATAACTGGACTGGCCATTACACCACAACACTTATATATGTTTCTAATTCACACAGGTGGGCTATGCCAATAATAAATAATCCGCTTCCAACTCAATTTCTCCCTGAAATTTTGAAATTAATAGATTATCTTTGTATGGCGAGGACTCAATGTTACTTGATGATTCACGGAAGATTGCTTGATGTTAGGGATCCCATTTTGATTCACGGAAGATTGCTTGATGTTAGGGATCCCATTTTAACTACTTCCTTCAATGATGTTACTGATTTAGAACTTTAAATGCGTGAATGGTTTGCAAGAGAAACTCACAAATATATGTTTTCATTCATTTTGAATTAATGATTTGTTCTCGCTGGAATCATCATCTCTTTTTTCTGATCATTCTTGAGCTCTTCATCCAACATTTCCTGCAATTCGTCGCATTCCTTCTGGAAATCATTTCTTTCGCAGAATTAGTTTGGTTTGTCTTGAATGACATTATTAATTAATAGATATCAATTTTCCACATTTTAAAGTAGGTGGTAGAAAGGTAGAGATAATATATAGTTATGTTAGGGTAAGAAATGTTCAAACCATAAGTTACACCAGAGAATGATTAAAAGTGGAAGTTTCATTCAAATGATAAAATGAAAACAGGAAGGAGAAAAGAAATCAGGGAAGCAAAGCGATACAAAAACTAATTCTGCAAAATTTGTTAATTAATTTGCTTCAGGATTTTTGCGTTTACATTTTTCACGTTCAGCGCTCCTCTCATTTCCTTTCATCTCTCCACCGAGTCTTTTTTTTTTTTTTAAATAAAAAATCGTCAGCACTTAATTTCATGACGATCTGACAAAAATTTCAATTCTAATTTCCACCTTCAGCTAGTCTTTGATATAATCTCTATGAATACTACATTTAGATTTTGAAGACTAAAGAATTTGTTTTTTGGCTAATTTTTCAATCAATACCTTCTTTCAATCTATAAGTGCGGTATCCCTTCCATCTTCCCATTTCCTTCTGTGTAACTTCCGTATCATTTACTCTAGATCCACATTATCATGAGTAATTTTGTGAGAATTTTGTATCAGCTCTTCTGAATAATTCCGATGTATATTACTTTTACCCTAATTGGCTAATTAACTACATTTCACCAAACTCAAGTGATACTTGAAAGAGATTAAATTATAGTCAAAAGTTTTCAAAGCATGAATGTTAACGAACCTTTAAGCGTGCGCATTTCCGTTGCTGTTGTAAGCGATTGTGAGAGATTTTCTTTTTTGCTTGCGCCAAAGTAGTTTCATGAGTAATTGTTAGCCAATCGACGTCTCAAACTTCTCAACCTGAAAACTTTCATGCATCCCTATCAAAACAGGGATGCATGAAAGTTTTTAGGTTGAAGAGAAAATGTTCATATTTCCAAGTTCTGTGTGTCGGTCACTTCGCTGCTTTTTGATGATCATTTATCTGTGATGCAGGAAAATTCTAAAGGTTAAGTAACACAGCATGCAAAAAAAGTAGGTAATAAAATATTTGCAAAGTAAATGAAAAGCATGCAAAAATAAAGTTTGTAATAAAATATGTAAAAAAAAGTAAGTAAACGAGATGCAAAAATAAAATAAGCAATGATGTGTGCAAATAAAGTATGTAAAAGGTATAGAAAAATAAAGTTGGTAACAACATGTGTGGAAGGAAAATGAGTAAAAAGCAATGAAAAATAAGGTTTATAATAAAATATGTAAGAATAAAGTAAGTAAACGACACGCAAAAATAAAGTAAGCAATGATGAGTACAAACAAAGCAAGTAAGAACAAGGCAATAAATTTTGCTTTGCAATAAATAAATTTAAAAAGAAAAAACAAAGTAATAGAAAAATAAACAGTAAAAAAGCAAAAATAAATAAAAAATAACATAAAACAAATAAAAAATAATATTTTTCATAAATAAAGTAAGCAAAAGGAATGTAAAAATGAAGTCAATAATAAAGTATGCAGAAAAAAGTGACTAAAAAGCATGCAAAAATAAAATTGATAATAATACATGTACAACGACACCAAGTAAGAGGCATGCAAAACGTAATAAAATACGTACAAATAAAATAAGCAAGAAACATCCCAAATTACAGTAAGTAATAAAACATGTTGAAACGAGGTGAATAAAAGACATGTAGAAAAAGTAGGTAATAAAATGTTTGCAAATAAAGTGAATGAAAAGCGTGCAAAAATAAACTTGCTAATGATTCATGCAAAAGGAAAGTGAGTAAAAAGCATTTAAAAATAAAGCTTGTAATAAAACATGCAAAGATAAAGTGAACGACATGCAAAATAAATAAGCAATGATGTGTGCAAACAAATTAGGT